AGCCAGGACTTTACTTCAGCCAGGAGATATCATCCACCATATAAGTGGGAATTTCTTGGAAGACAAGTGATAGCAGCAACAAGATTTTTTTTGCAGAACTATAAAACAAGCAAATCATTTTCTTTTGATAACGAGAGTGCTAAAAATGCTGCAGAAGTATTTATTTACAATATTTATATACCATCTTCCCTCTAGGACCTGAAAACAGCATACATAAAAGTTCCTCTTCCCTTACTTTTATCATCACAACCCCCCCCCCCCAAAAAAAAATAGGTCTGGTTGAGAGATAACATCTGGGCCAAGCATCACTTCGGAAGATTAATGACCAAGTGCCCATTTGCATCTTGGTCTTCTTACTCATGATCCAGCAGTCTAATCCTACTGGTTTGGCAGAAGCAAATCCAGAAATATTTATATCTGAAATTACAAGCATGGCTGAGGCATGGTTGTTTTTGTTTGCAGCTTAACACTTGTATTGAATTTCCTCCTCCCACCCCAAATCCCTAATTTCTTAGCCCTGTGATGAGTCTAATGAAGTTTCACAAGAGCAAAAACCAGGTCCAATGTGGTATTGCTCAACGGTTCATATAAGTGGGGAACCTAGATCAGAAAGCTCTCATCTGCAGAAGAGAGATGGGATGGATGCTTGAACCCCAAATTGTGTGGCTCTCTTTGGCAGGAATGGTTTCACATGTCCCTATCCCCCTCAAACCTGATCCCCATTTTCTACCATTTACTTCTTTATACATAAACATACAAGTGTATGATACTTTTGAACATTCTTTCTAAGTTAAAAAAGAAACCAATAAAATATGCCTAAGCCTGCAGACAGCCTGAAGCATTTAATGTGGTTGGTACATCGCTAAGCACACTTAATTAACCCACCTAACATGCTTCCCTGGCAAGCAACCCCTGCCCCGGCACTGTTAAGTCTCATTATACTTTATCAGGCCACCACAACATTTTGCTTTTGCTGGCACCAACGGCACATGGCATAGCATGGATCTGATGTAGCTTGTGACACGGGATTGACATCACTCCAAGTGAAAATATTGTGATCAGAGGGATGCTTGATAATAGGGAGGGTGTTCATAGAACAGCTTGTTTAAGCATTTAGGAATCTTCTCATGGGAGGTTATTACCTTAAGACTGCAGAGAAGGCGAAAGGAGCTACTTGGCAGAGACAGGTCCACGTACACCTCTTCCAACAAGCTCATCTGAGAGAATGGTTTCGCTAGGGATGGGCAGTCTTTTCGTGGATGCTGCAATGAACTTTTTCAAGAGGAGAGGAGATAGAGCCTGCAAACTGTCTCATCATGCCCAACATGCATCTGGATGAAACTGAGATTTTTCTCTTTTCCCTACTTATTTAGACGAGGATTTAAAAAAAAAAAAAAAACATTGCAAGATACCTACGTTAGGATTCCTGATATAGTTTTTATGTGTTTTCCACCTGAACTTGGCTATTACAGCCAAAAAGAAAAGAATTGACCACAGGCAGACTTGTGGCCTTAAGCTGCCCACTCTGAACTAATAACGCCTAACGCTGTTCACGGTCCAAGCTAAAAAGTTAAAAGATTAATCAGTCTGAGGAGGAAACGTGGCCTTGGGGTTTAAGTTTCTCCAAGTAAAAGCCAGAATTACAATTAATATTTCACATTGAGAAGAAGCTGTAAAACGTTGGACCTGAAAGTGGGAATGTCCCCTTACGAATCTGCTCAAACTTGTAAGAATGAGCTTGTAGGGCAGGGGTGTCAAACTGCCGGCCCGTGGGCCAGTTTCATCATACCGAAGCCACGGCCACCCCATTGCCGGCAATGCAAAGAGTCGCGATACCTCACGACATGTCACGTGACACGGCAAGTTTGACACCTGTGTTGTAGGGTCACCATCAATATCCATTATGTTCTTTTCAATGACAAACAAACATTTGGAACTGTGGCTTCATCTTGATTTAAGTGGCCCACTTCAGCTACATTTCATAGCAACTGCTATAGCTGCAGCCATTTTAAAAATATGTTTCTAAATTGGATCATTTTGCCTAGATTTAATTTTTATTTTAGACTATGTTTTGTAACCTGCCCTCTGGGAAAGCTTGGTCTTGAAAGACAGAATAAAGGTATTTAAAACCCATAAACCTGCATCTGGCTGTTGCAGAATGCTTTAATCAGTGCTGTTTGCACATATGCTCCCTCAATCCTAGAGAGATAATGCACTCTAAATTAGGATTTTGAAGAATCCAAGCAGACCAAGAAATGTATTTCTTTGCCACAGTAAGTTTGACATTTTGTAGATTTGAGATTTTTCAGTCTTTTGAAATGATGCACCTGTCCATTTCTGAAAAAAAAAGCACATCTGCCCGATTTCCTCCTTAGTCCAGATCAGTTGTACAAAAGCTCATAAATCAACAGAAACCATTACTCTTGAAATGCAAACCGTTTGAACTTGGCACATCGTAATTTGTGCATCTCCAGCTCAATTCTTAATATTCTCTGCTTTGGGCACCAAACACTGAGAATTTATTTGGCAGCAAAAGGAGATATGAGTTGTGCTGTGCCTCCCACCCTCTCTTCCTCCTTCCCTCTTTTCTTTTTTCTCCCCTCCCATTCTCAGTTTTGTATGGCCATGGTTTTCCCAGTTGCAATGTATGGCTGTGAAAGTTGGACCATAAGAAAGGCTGAGCGCCAAGGAATTGAGGCCTTTGAACTATGGTGCTGGAGAAGACTCCTGCGAGTCCCCTGGACTGCAAGGTGATCAAAATGGTCAGTCCTAGAGGAGATCAACCCTGATTGCTCTTTAGAAGGCCAGATCCTGAAGTTGAAACTCAAGTACTTTGGCCACCTAATGAGAAGGAAGGACTCACTGGAGAAGAGCCTAATGCTGGGAAAGATCGAGGGCAATAGAAGAAGGGGACGACAGAGAATGAGGTGGCTGGATGGAGTCACTGAAGCAGTAGGCATGAGCTTAAATGGACTCCAGAAGATGGTAGAGGACAGGAAGGCCTGAAGGAACATTGTCCATGGGGTCGCGATGGGTCGGACACGACTTCGCAACTAACAACAACAACAAAAATACAAATAGTCCTTGACTTACATCCAAATGGCTTTTAATACATGGAAAAGCCAGATCATTTTAAGTGTAAGAGAAACTCTGCTGTTATTAATCAGCAACTTCTTTATGGGAAAAACATAATCTGTGGGATTGCCTCTCCCTGAGGCTATGTGCCTATCTCATCAGAATAGATAGGGATGGTACCGGTAATAGGGCTTTCCCATTAAACACTGCAATCTTGCCAGTCACTAGAAGCATGCCTTCTCCACTGCTATCAATGCCCTACCCTCCCACACTGAGATTTGACAGGTCCTCACCCTCTTCACCTGCAGAGAGCACTTAAGACTTGGCTCTCATCCCAAAGGTTGGGACATGGCGTGGTCACAGTGGGGAAAAAAATACTGAGAGTTGCATCAGGGAAATGTAGCTGTAGCACCTGGCCTTTCAATTTCCGGCTTTCTGTTTCTTTTTTCTTTTATTGTTGCACACATTGGGGTTTTTTGGGAATTAGTTTTGCTCTAAGATAGGAGGCTCTACAAATGTTTTAAGTAAATAAATAAAGTAAAAATAAAAGCAACATTCTCATGTCAGACAAGGCAAAAAGAAAGCTCATTTTTTCATATTTGTTTTCCAGAAGTGAAAGATAAAACTTACGGTAATCCAATTGCCAGGAAGTGAATTATACTCAGAATAACGGGGTTTTGTCCCATCTGGGCATATGTAAAAAGGTAGAGACTTGTTGTCTGTTCATTCTTTTGCTATTGAAAGAGATAGCAAATTTTCTCTTTGAATCTTGGCAGCAACCACAGATTTTAATAATGCTTAGTAAGGTTTACAGTTCACTGTGCATATGATCTGCGAAATGCTTTGGCATGCGAAAAGTTTTTTGTTTTTTGTTTAATTACAGGGTGGGGGATTTTATTCAATTGAAAGAAATTTGGACTAGATTTTGGCTGTTTTCTTTGAAACTTTCTCTTCCAACAGTTTTTTGCAGGGTGGGTGGGTGGGAGGGTGTTGGGAGAATAATTGGACAGGAACACTTTCTATCAAGGGGCTCCAAAACCGATTAGGAAGGACCACTTAAAGGATTTTTTTTGTTTTGTTTTAACCCATTGTGTGAAATTGTATAACTGGGCGTAGTGCCCCTTATCCTTTTAAAGCGGGGGTGGGGGGTGGAAATGGGATGAGAATATATATACAGCACCAGAAAGATACTCTTTTTCTTTATGGGATTTTATCCAATTTCAACGAAGAATAAAATTTAAGAAAAATGAAGAGATTGGGAAGAAAAGGTTAGGAAGGGGGTTCAGAAAAGTGGGGAAAAAAATAAGGGGGAGGGAAAAGAACTTCCGATTGCTTCGGTGCGCATAGACAAACGTAACATACAATGATCTCTTACTCTTAGGATTAAAGCACCAGAATCTCGAATCAAAGCCCACAGCTGCTGGAAAAAAAACGGGGCGTCGGGGGGGGGGGAGAGGAATCACGTGACAGGAGAAGAAAACGCGGTAGCAGAACCAGGAGACCGAGCAGTGTCAGGAGGGAAGGTGCCGGGGGAGGCAGGCGCTTCGCAAGCCAACAGTAGCACCAGGAGGCGGAGCTGAGACTCCGAAGTTGGTTCTTCTCTGAGATCCCGTCGGCGGAAAAAAAAAAAAAAAAATCAGCCACCGAGCCGCCAGCGTAGAAGCAACAGATCCCAAACAAGGAGATCTCGGAGAGCTGCAATTTTAGGCTCGGGTTGTTTTTTTTTTGGTTTTGTTTTTAGCACCCGGGAGGAGGGCAGAGGAAGGGGGGGGGTCGCGAGGTCGCAGCCATGCCTGGCCACGGCGGCTCTCCGGCGGCGCAGCTCGGTTTGGCGCGGCTCTGGTGAGCGCTCCTTATGGGGGATCCCGCCGAATAGTAGCGGGCCTCTCCCCCCCTCCCCAGGATCGCCGAGGAGCCGTGCCCCGATGGAGCCGGAAGAAAAAAAGATCTCGGTGTGGATCTGCCAGGAGGAGAAGTTAATCTCGGGCCTTACCAAACGTACCACTTGCTCGGATGTGGTGCGGGTCCTTTTGGAGGAGAGCAAGCAGCGGCGCAGGCGTCGGCAGCAGCAGCAGCAGCAGCAGCAGCAACAGGCATCGCTGCAGGAGTGCGGCGGGGGGATGTTGTCCGGGCTCCCGCAGTCTTACTGCATCGTGGAGAAGTGGCGGGGCTTCGAGAGGATCCTGCCCAACAAGACCAAGATCCTGAGGCTCTGGGCGGCCTGGGGCGACGAGCAGGAGAACGTGCGCTTCGTGCTGGTGCGCAGCGAGGCGTCCTTGCCCAACACCGGACCCAGGAGCGCCGAAGCCAGGGTGGTCCCCAGCAGGGACAGCCCGGGACGCCATGGCTTGGGGGTTGCAGCCCGGGCCAGCCTGGCTTTGAGCCAGGAGCGGCAGCGGCGCGTGGTGAGGAAAGCCTTCCGCAAGCTGGCCAAGATCAACAAGAGGAAGGGGCAGCCGCAACTCGAGGAGCCGCCGGCTAAGGAGGCCCCGGCGGCCGAGAGGATGGAGACTCTGGTGCATCTGGTCCTTTCGCAGGACCACACCATCCGGCAGCAGATCAAGCGGCTCCGCGACTTAGACCGGGAGATCGACCGCTACGAGGCGAGGATTCACTTCGACCGCATGAAGCGCCACGGGGTGAACTACGTGCAGGACACTTACTTGGTCGGAGAAGAGCCGGAGCCCCCCGCGGGAGAGCAGGAGGGAAAGGCTCCCGCAGGGGCGGCCCCCGAGGCGGCGGCGACGACGACGACGCCTCCTTCGGCGGGGGAGTCCGAGAAGCCGGCGGCCGGCAGCGAGGGCTTGGAGGAGTTCGCCTGGAAGTGCGAGCAGGTGGCTCGGGTGCAGGAGCAGTGGCGCCGCCAGGAGGAGCTGATCGAGCATTTGGCCGGCGAGATCCAGGAGGAGCTCAACGAGCGCTGGATGAGGCGGCGCCGGGAAGAGCTGGCGGCCGCCAAGGGCTCCAGCGCCAGCCTCTCCGAGACGGACTGCAACACCACCGAGCTGAGCGGCGGCGGCGGCGGCGAGCTCCACGTGGAGCAGGAGCGCGTCAAGACGCAGCTGAGCACCAGCCTCTACATCGGGCTGCGTCTCAACACGGACTTGGACGCCGTGAAGTCGGACCTGGAATTTACCCAGAGCGCCTGGGCCGATAAAGAGCGCGAGCTTCGGCGCTTGCTCGATTCCCTGGAGTCCTTACACGTGGAGGAGGGGGAGGTGGAGGAGGAAACGGCGGCGGTGGTGGCAGACGAGGGCGAGCGAGGGGACCTCCCTTTCAACACGGGCGACGAGCTGCCCGCCTCGGTCCCGATCACCTCGGAAGATTGGGGTGAGGAAGCCGCCCGGAGTTTGGGCAAAGACCGCGAAGATCGTGAAGACGAGGATTCCGACACGGGTTTGAGCTCTATGCACAGTCAGGACTCGGACTCTGTGCCCGTGTGCGAATCCCTCGTGTAGCTGTTTCCTCTCCCCCCCTCTCCTCCCGGTTTTTTTTTTTTTCCCTTCACATCATCTCAGGGACTGCAAAACTGTTTTTCTCCTTCGGTGCACAAGTTTCCATTGGCGCAAAAATGCTTGGATTAAGAGTTCCTGCTTTTCCTCCTGTTTCTGATTGAGTGCATTACAATACATTGTAACAATGCAGGATCCAATCTGGGTCGGTCACCGGGGATCGTTGTAATGAGCCTGATGGTGGTTCGTTACAGGTCATTTCTGTTCAAATAATTAAATCCTGGAAAATATATATTTGTACAAACAAAAAGCTAGTTTTCTCCATAATTAAATTTCCTTGTTTTGTTTTTTTTCAAATGAAGAAAAAGCTGCCGTTTTTAATATTTAATTCTCTTAAGGAAATAAATACTGTTGGGGAAAATATATGATATTGTGTGTATATAAAACAAAGCTCCCAACATCTGAATTGAGGGCTTGACACTGAAACTTTCTGAAACTAGTCAAGAAGGGCAGATTTTGGTCTTGTTTTCTCACTCTTTAACTGCAAACTTTAAAAAGGGATTGTTGGCAAATCTCTGAAACTGTCTTTTCCATTTTTTTGCTCTTTTACATCTGAGATATTTATTTTTGAACGGCTTTTCTAACCATTACATTCTTAATTGCAAGTACAAGACAGAGTGCTTTAAAAGTGTTATTCATTAATTTGCTTTCTAATTCAGGATTTTTTTTTTACTCCTTGGTCCTTTCCCAATATAAAGACATCTGTCTAATACAAAAGAGCTGTAATTTGCTCTGAAAGAGTTACAGTAGTTTGATGCTCTGATCAAAATGAAACATATAGATGGAAGACACAGTAGCAAGAATGGGGATGATTAATAACTTGTACTCTGGAATGCTTGCTGTCATCCTGCTTGGAATAGATTCCAACAAATGTCTAAATAGCTAATTTATGTCTCAGATGCAAAAATCTCTTATGCACAGGTGTTCATGGGAATAATCCAGGTTTTTGTAGGGAGGTGGGCAGGGTTATTTAAATGTTAAGAATGAATCATCGGAAGTAAATAGGAATCATAGCAGTTATGCTTGTTTGGTTGTGTTCCTTAGAAAATGGGGAATGAAATGCAGGAGATGTGAGTTAATTTGCTCACAACACACTAACAGTGTAAATCTGCAAGAGAGAATGCTGGTTGAGTGAGGCTTTACATAGTAATTACATTGCACTGAAACTTTAAAAGTGACATGGGCTTTAATGCTTCCAGTATGCTTGATTTGCAGATTTATTGAAGCAGTATGCAGTGTGTTGCGAATAAGATTGAATTTGTCTAAATATGCTGAAATCAGCATTGGGTAAGAGCCATTCCACAAAGCCAGCTCCAGTGCCTTGTTTGTTGCAACTTTTGAGCAAAGTTTTTGTGGCTAGAAGACCAATCTAAGGGGCAATTTCTCCAAAACTGATATGTCTGTACATTTTATTCACACTGAACTTGGTACGTGCATTCCTACTTAAAACTTTCAAAAGGAAATAGGACTTCCAAACCATTTTAACTCCTACCTTACTTTAAAATGTCAAATTTGGCAATGAATGACATAAATTTCATTGGTGGGAATGATGGAGGCAGAAGGACTGTGATGCAACAAGAACAAATTAACCCTTTCTCCTATACACACACAAAACACCATCTCAAGGCTAGTGAGGCTATTACAACTTTTTATAACTTTTTTTAATAGTCACGATTTACTTTCAGACTCTTAAAAGAATATGACTGAACAAATGCCACTGTAAACTCATATTACAGATTTATTTCTAAGCAGAAGTAAATAATTGGAAGTTAAAAGAGGCACATACTACTTTTGTTACTTTGTTTTTCAGATTACCTTCCTTGGGCAGTTTTTAGTTCAACTGAGCATCAGTCACAGAAGAAATTTGGTATAGATTTTGCTTTTAAAGGTGTGAATTGAGAGCATTGTAAGAGAGGACCAAAATCAGATTCTACCAATGGATAGTTAGAAATAAATTTAATAGGATTTCATTGTATATTGAGCTCCGTGTGGAAATGAAGATTGACTGTGTATAGGACAGCAAATAAGTCCACAAACAGTTTTGGCAATAGATGGACAAGTGGCCATCGATATCGTATCAATCGTTGCCTTTCCCAAGCAAAATCTTACTTTCATCTATTGCATTGCTATTTTCTTCTTCCATGTCTTTTGAGTCAGTTATTAAAAAATGGATACAAAATGGTAGAATACAGGCCAGTTATTAAATGAATCACATTAACTCGGAGAAATTCCCTGAATGGAGCAAGATGATTTATGCAATATACTTAGCTTCATCTAACAGCAACCAGTATTTGGGGAGAGGGGAACCTTGTATTTCAAATCGGGAAGAAAAAAGTGCAGAGACGCTGCAGTGGCCAGGATGCACTATCAGAAAGTACTTTAAGTTAGCTGTTTCACTTTCTCCAATTAAAATTTAACGTTTAGTTTGTTATTTTACCTAAGTGACAGTCTGATCCTATGCATTCCTGTTTTAGAAATAAATCTGGGGATGACGGCCAGATAAAAGTTAGCATGTATGCAATGTTAATCATCCTTTGGTCCTGAACATTTGTTTAAAATGTACTGTATATTTTCTATACTGAACCTGATAGTAGGAAGCTACAGTATTCCTACTGTTTAAAGAACACCAATTTGAGAAAATAGTGCATCAAAACCTTATTTGCAATAACACTGGATTATTTATGGAATAAACAAAGATGTATTTTTCACAGAGGATTCAACTGTCATTTGTATACCAATTAACCAGGTCTTGATGTAAATTACTAATTGCATTGAGTGCCTATCCTATTAGCACCAGTGCTATACAAGTATATGCACTTACTATAGAGGCAATGGAAGATGACAGAAAAAAAAATAGGGCAAAACTGAAAGGGGTTAAATGCAGCGCCAATAAAAGATATTGTACGAATAAGAGATGATTGAAATGCAAAAGTTGGGGAAATGGCAGAAATTGAAATTATTGGGAAAGTTTTGCAAAATGTAGGAGAGAGGGTTAATAATGTTTGGGGCAGAGCATTTTTGCATAATCATGGGATGCTGCAAACAACTATAAATCCAGAGCAGTTGCTGAGCACCCAAAATGTGCTCACATGAACATGGGTGGTGGGGTGGGGTAGCTTCAGTACAACTTCGGAATCAGGTTGTATGTAAGTTTGGGGGGGCTGTTGTAATGTCAAATTGTTACTAAGTGACCGGTCATGAAGTTGAGGACTATGTGTAGCTGCTTTAAACCACATTGACACAAATTTCTCAAATGGACATCACCAGATGCACAGTACTGGAATCAGGTCTAGTACACAAACTATTGAACACATGCACAAGGGCATTTCCAAGCCCAGATTATGGAAGAGACAGGTTGGTGTGAGGTATATAGGTTGAATTAAAATTAAAGCAAGTAGAATGTGCCCTTAAGATTTAATCTAGAAAAACAAAGAATATAAAATCAATCTAAGGAACAGGCTCAACTATGCAAAGACAACCTGTTAGTTGAATGTAATCAAGACTTAGAACTCATGATCAGCAAACATAAACATGCATATTTTGAGCATGGGATATGAGTGGGATGGTGAACTAAAGATATTTAGAAAGGCTAAGAGAAATAAAGAAAAAAGGGTAAGAGAGTTGATAAGCACTTGGAAGAATTACAAATGGTCACCGTGGACAGGTTGAGATGATGGGCATCTCTCCACAAGGCTGCCAATGGTCAAGCTAGACTTCATGGCACCCAGCTAACTAAATGTTACAAAACAAGCTCATGCCGTTTCATCAACACGTTAATCTAATAATAATGCATTAGAGATTGTTTGGATTCATTAAAGTGTCAAGCTCTAAAATTTTACAGAGCTTGTGAACAATGTGTTTACCAGGGCTGGATGACTTGAAAATGATCTGGAGAAGTGCTTGAGATTGTTTCTGCTAAGAATTTTAAGCCTGATTTTAGATATTTTCTTAAACTTAGCATGATCTGCTTTCAAATAAACAAAATCAAATAAGCAGTTTGTACATTGTGGGTTCTGGGGATGTTGGTTTCAATGCTCCCTACTCCATAAGTTTTATTAGAAAGGTTGTGCATTAGGTTTTTGAAAGGCTAGATGATTAAAGCATCTTCTAAATAGCCATTGGGCAGTATAATTTAATATTCAGTTGGTACAACTGATAATGCCCTCCCCCACCTGCAGAAAAAAGCAGTGGGAGGACAAATTAATGCTATCTAGAAGAGCAACTGGTGAAATTAAAACTGAACGTAGTGATAGAAGTAAAAGAGGTCCCCAAAAGAAGATAGCAGTAATACTTCAGTTACTTAGGAGATTGGCCCTGGGAGTCTATCCTGTGCTGAAATCCTGGCTTTCTTTTGTAGCTCTTGCTTAAAATTTCACAGCATTTCTGGCATGAGGCAATTTATAAGAGCAACAAACTTAAAGAGATACTAAGGTGAGCTCTGGACTAGCAGGCATGTGATTAGCACAAAATCTGCTGCTGTGAGAATGAAGTCACTGAGGTATTTTTTTCTCTCTGATTCCACTACAGAATGTCTGAAACCAGAGCAAAGTTGGTTTCTTCTTTGCAATCCTTGGGGAATCTGCTTTTCCATTGGCAGGTGACCTTGACTCATCCCACCTCCCAGATCCTATTCCCTCCCTCTCTTCCCCACTTTTCCATGTCTGCCTTGTTTAGTTTCATCCATTCCAACAGCTGCAATGCCTTGTTGCAAAAGGGCTGGTGCTCATTTCACTTCAGGGTAATGGAGAAGAATGTCAATGCACCTTGGAGGTCCTTTTCTTTTTATTCCAAGAACCTGGAATGAAAGTTTCTGCATTCTTCTGCTAAAGGGTTGGAGAATGGAAACAACGTGGATATGGAAGTGCCTTATGCTTCCTTGAAAAAGTCAGTGTGGTCATTTTAATGAGTGAGGTGACTGACTATTATAGCATGAAAAGTGGTTGGAA